CGTTGTTCCCAAATATACAATGAACAGAAGCGAAAGACCGTAGTCGAGGAGCCGAGATCTTCAGAATGCCGTTTGCAATAGGGAGAGCTGCGCATGCGTGACTATATCCTTATCCTTATATTGTGTTTTCACCCTTTGACCAAAACGTTATTAACTTCTAAATTCGGAACATCACTCTCTGAAAAATCGCGCCATATTTATGAAATTTCAATAGATTTTTGTATGCATATATGTTCGATATTTTACGCCTTTGCGGCGGTTATACAAAACTCTTTGGCTATGATTTCACATTATATAGTTAAATCCCATAGCTAAACTCAGAAATACATAACTCTGATTGGCCAATTCTGTTCAATTCTACAGTTAAAAAAGTTAACTAGTCTTTTATAGCAACAATTAACTATAGCTCCAGAATTGTGCGCAAGCCGAACTGAATTCGCGCAAAAAATATCGGCCTCTATACAACTTTTCTTTCTTGAGGGCTTACCGATGTCTCAAACAAGACGGGCAATATATCCAACGATTTCCTTAAATATCGTGCATGCACGAGCGCCTAGAAGATATTTACCAACACCAATCCTACCAAATCAGAGTATTAATCATCGTTAGTTTCCTTCAGTTTTTCATAGTCATAATCATCTTTTGAAAAATAGATATACAAAGCAAATATGAAAAGGACGAGACAGGTTGTCAAGCTGTAGATAAGTAACGTCATCCGTGTGCCAAGATCATCGAAAAGAGCTCCCATAAGTGAGGCACCAGCGTCGAATCCAAATGCATATATTGTTTCAACGAGACCTAAAACGATAATTGAGATAAATGAAAAAACCCAAGCAAGCGCGACTGACTATTATAATTATTTACTTGCAATAATTTTTTATAATGGTTAGTTGCTGAAATAAAATTACCGGGAAACCTGTTAAAGGTAACATAAAAATATGAAAAAATTGTCATAACAGTACTGAATTTCTGCCCGTCTTAAATCAAGCACCGCAACTGCGATAGGTAAGATAAAAGATGCTTTAATTTCAAATGGTAATTAATGTCCCAAATTTCTGGTTATGTGTAAAATGCACAAAATATAGGCTGCCATGAATAGGGAAAATTGTTAGTATTTTTGGCCTGAATGTGGTAACAATTGATTGCATTTTCTTGCATTGATCAAAAAGTAGCCTGTTACGCAAAAAGTCTATTCCCCATGAAGATTTAATTTATGATATATAAAGTTATCGCAAAATCGAGATAACGAGCGAGCCTAGTATTAAAAGAAATGATTCAAAACAAGGTATCGGTTTTAGGGATGTGCAAAAGTATTGGACACATAGCAAATTTAAGGAAGAAAACAATTCCTGGTGTTCCGATACATGTAAAATATAAATTGCATGGATATAAACTGTCATCTGTAAAGAGATACAGGCTTACAGGGAGTAGGCGTTCGACACATAAATAAGAGCTTAAGTTTCTCTCAAAGAGAACAGTTTTTGAGTATTTACTATACCCAATTTACATATAACAATAAGCGGGACACCTGGAATAGTTTTCTTAAAATTGCTATGTGTCCAATACTCTTTTGAACATCACTGTGTATATCCGTCATTTACTCTTACCAAGGATGACTCCAGAATTTTCTTTGGATCCAACTTTTGAAAAGTGCACCGTCATGGCACAAAAAATTAATCCATACGCAGCCGCTTGGAATATATCTATGCTAATAACAAACCAAGGTATCCGCGTGAAAGAAAGAGCAAGAAATGATAGTGAATAAAGAAGCAATCCCAAACATATCGTCTTTAATTCACCAATTTTTCGTATAAAATTTCCTGACACGAAAGCTGAAAGCCCTAGCAATGGTCGTCTCATTAAAGCAGCTCCCCCCATCAATAATGGACTCGCCTGCAAACCGTCCAAATACCAAAACTCCCAGTAAATTTGAAACGAACAGCACAGGCCAGTGAAAAATAGAACCACGAGCACGAAAATATGGTGAAAATTAAACAAATCAGATTTTAAATCTGCCCAGTTAATAGTTTTAGTCTGATCATACTCGAACTCAAACCACGGTAGAGAGACCATTGAGGATAACGCCATACAACCAGCAACTATAAATACCAAACTATAACCATAATCCTCAATTCCACAGATTTTTATTCTGGTGCTTCAGGAGAGAAAAGCTACTGAGCAAATTGAAACACCTGCACCAACATGGCACCACATATAGTAAGCACCGTAACTTGAACCTCGTTCTTTCAGGTACGTCACGACAGCAAGGCTTCCCAAAGAAACAGCCACGGTTTCAAACATTACGTTGAATGATCTAGCCACAGTAATCAGAATAAAAAGTTTACTTAGCCAGGGCACGCTTTGCGACGTCTTTGAAGCTTGTTCAAATGAGTGTTGAGATGTTATGTTAGTCACATCAGATCTTGAATGCATTGAGCCGTTGTTGAATGTTTTGAATATCAAATTATCCGGATCGTGAGATGTTTGGTTGTGGCTGGTAAAACATGTAGGCAATGATACAACCAAAGGCAGAAGAGGCAGGAGACTAGTCAAAGTGACACCAATGCATGCCATTATAGAAACAGCGTTTCTTGCTCGAAATTTGTCGGCCCCGAGAAGAAAAAGGGAACTAAACAAGGCTGAACGCCCATCAGGGTTGTGAAACCGATTTGTTTAGGACTAAATCCGTATTGCTTGAACGAAAGATGACAGAATTCTGCGAACAATAAAGCGCTACCAGCACAACTGAAGTAAAACCATTTCAGAGCCAGTGATTTGATTGAAAATGTCGCCATAATGTTCAGAGTCAGATGACTCAGATCATAATTATTATGAGCGTTTAGGCGTGAATATGTCTAGAATGTCTACAGACAAGCTTTAGTAATTTTTCTTTCTTTACTCAATGAAACATTCCGCTGAACATTATACGATGTACTCACGGCACAGCATCCTTCTCACGGTACTAGAAAATTTCATTAAATTCAAACGGATAATGAAAATATAGAATTTTTTGCCGAGAACGAAGTCGAGGTTTTATTAAGTGATTCAAAATGTGGACATTCCTGGTATAGCGCTGTAAGCGGGGCGTAACGATACAGCTAATTTGAATTCAATGCAGCGGCCAAAGAAGGCCCGATTGAAACTTTTCGTTTACCAACTCGAATGCAAATGAACTTACAAAGACTTTAGCTCTGAATGAAAAGTCGACGTCTGAAACAGGCTTAACTGAGAAAAAGACTTGAAAATAGTGTTTAAAGTGTCATGCTATGCAAATTTTATGTTATTGTCATTATTCATTTCTTTAGAAATTCATTGTTTTCACTGTCAATGAACACCAAAATATTAACATAGAGTGAACTAAATTGTCGGCCTGGCTACGATGCTTGAATAAATTCATGGTTTACACCAAATTCTTTGCATATGAATGTGGTATACTCCCCGTGGCCGTTGTAAACCGAAATTTCTGACCTGTGTAAAAGTAGATTAAGTCTTGGATAGGTTTATAGTTGATTAGGATTTACTCTATATTTTAACCTCAAATCAGATTTAAGATTTAACACGTATCTAAGGTTTACTAAACATGAAAATAATTATTATGATACCGCGTGAAATTTCGCGTACCAGGAAAAATCGCGGTTACTTGATATGTGTAATTTAGTTATATTAAAGGCTACATACAATGTCGCGATTCCTTCAAGACCTGCATTAAACGGTCAACCTGTATTAAAAGCGAAGATAAAAAGTAGGAAGAGATAAGTACTTATGCGCAGCGAATTTTTTCGCAAACCACCTCCATTAACTGTACTCTCGCCAATATAAAAACAACCAAGCCAGTCAAGCTGGCTGAGCTGACTCAAATGAGTCGATAACTGATTTACTATTATTCGGGATCAAATGTATAGTCAAAGTCCAAGCAGGGGGCACACATTAATGAAAATAATGAGGGGGGGGGGTTGCCTTGTGTTCTGGGACCGACTTTTGTATAGAGTTCGTGCTCGATCACATTCATAGTTGGAGGGGTGCAGTGATCGAGGCCGATATCCGACAGTGCCTGAGATCCAACCGCTATATAGGGGGGTCCGGGGGCATTCTCCCCCAAGAATTTTTTGAAGTTTGAGTCCGCTAATGGAATTTCCTGCGTTCTCAGCAACGAATATTACTCTGCACTCCCATTTATAGAAAAATTATACGGAAAAATAAAAAATCGATAATTACCGTTCAAAATTAAATACTACGTTTGATATGAAACCGTTGACGAGTAGTTATATAATTATGTTATTCAACCTTTTGAGATATTTACATACAAGACGAACGATTAACCGCATGAATATTAATTGTTCATTCCATTTTATATAAAGTCAGATAGATTATCATTGACCTTTCAGACATACAAGATCTATAGCTTTCGAAGATCCCGACTCTTAGTATTAAAATTGGGCTTCGAGCATTCTCTTATTCCCAAATCTGCTGCCCGCGCATACCTTCGAACCAAGATGCATTTACTAGTATGAATTCTCGTTCGAGATATCTTTTTGCATGCGAATTAAAACGCCCAAAGATCGAACGGTGCGCCAGTGCAAGTTCGCCCAACTGCCCAAGTACCTCTGTCGACAAGGCAAGCGACCCTTCGCTCGATTATGTCTCGAACGTCTACAGACAAGCTTTAGTAATTTTTCTTTCTTTATAACTGAATAAAACACTCCGCTCAAAATTATACATTATACCAAATCAAATGCAAATTACACTTTCTTATGAATAATAATAAAGAAGATATGCAAATATTTCGCTCTGCGAACAATTTCTCTGTAAATGGAAAGCCAGCCTTGAAGGTCAACACAGACCAGACGCGATGCCGGAACGCGACGCGAATTTTCTGGTTTCAGAAGCATATAAATTAAATTCTGGAACAAAATTTAGAATCTACGGACGCCAGAGCAGTCAAAATACAATTGTCGTTACGTAAAGAAATTAAAAAATCTTGGAAAAATCGCTCCCAAATAGCGTGCTGTCTGTCTGGGTCTTGAGGCTGTTTACCATTACATTTAATTCGCCCGCGCCGGCGAAACGGCCTTTGAAAATCTACGCATTCGACCGTTATGGGCCTAAATAACAAAGTGTGTTTCACTCACGCGGACGAAACCGACGCATGCAATGTTAATTAATGTTAACTTAATGTCAAGATTATTAATAGCGAAGATTGATTAATCATCGGTTGTTTGCTTCAGTTTTTCATAACCATGAACATGTTTTGAAAAATAGATGTGAAAAACAAATAAAAAAAGGACGAGACAGGTTGTCAAGCTGTAGATAAGTAACGTCATCCGTGTGCCAAGATCATCGAAAAGAACTCCCATAAGTGTCAAAGCACCAGCGTCAAATCCAATGGCAAAATTTATTTCAACGAGACCTAAAACGATAGAAAATGTCTCAAGCTCAATTTTAACAGTCGGAATTAAAACACCATTTTTATTCAGTAGCGTAGCAAGCCTGACGATTTTTCCCGCTATGCTAATATTTTGGTCTCCATTGACTGTGAAAACAATAATTTTTTAGAGAAATGAATAATTTTCATAACTCCAAATTTACATAGCGGGACAAAATCGTAAGACTGGCTACGCCACTGATTTGACCTAAATATATATACAATAGACCAATTGCGAAACTTAGTAACCGCGCCTTCGCTCAACATGGAAACGAGGCTTATTATGCAAAAAACAATATTTGGATTTTTTGCACTACAAAGCTATTCGCCGAGTTATATGCCGTTTTTCGCCTTTGTTTTACATATTTTTCGATTCCTTTCAGCTTGGTTTCATCGTTGTTATCATAGTTTACAGATTAGGAAGTTTTGCCTTTCAATTAAGGCGTTTTTGTGGTGTTTTCATTAATCTTTTCGGCTGCTTTCGTCGGGGAAATATAGAAAAGGCCGACACAAACTGAGGTAAAAATTTAGTTTTTCCAAACTATTTCGTCTCAAGTTTTGAAAATGTATTTCATTTTTTCCCTCTTATTTGTGCAAAATTTGGCGATATATATTTGGTGCAAAATCTATGTTTTTTATGTCAAAAATTATTGAAAAGTCACGATCGAACAAACCACCATGTTCACATTTCTCATCTAAAATATTTTTATACCAATTTCATCGATCGATAAGATGTAATTTGACAGCAATTTTACAGCTCAGCAAAAAAAATAGTAGAAATCTGTTGACAGAAACTATAAGAGATAAAATAAGCAACGGAGTTTTATGTTTATTTTCCCTGTGTATATAGACTACAGTACATGTGATGTGATGCCGACTGAAAAGCAAAACAACTCTTCAACTTGGCACACATGCATGACATGGATAGTAAAATACTTATAACCAAGACATAATATCATTGTCTATTTTGAATTGCCATTTGAATATTCCTTTTCCCGCAATAACATACTATAAAGGTAGCCACAATGCGAGCTGCAGCGTTTTTTAAGATACACCTTTACATGATGGCAAAGCCGAAAGCGAAAAATATTTAAACTGGAGTTCGCAAGTGTTTTTCCGTTTACGATGGTGAACGGAATCCTTTCCTTTTCAAGTATTCCTGGTTCACCCTTATTAAACATCTATTGCATGGTAGTAGATAGAAAGAATAGTGTTTTGTACTAACACAAATGCAGAATTCAGATGCAAACTCAGATGCATTCGAATTCGACTTTTATAAAATTCGACCTTCAGGCCAGCATGCAAGCTATGCATCGTCTGTACTTTATTAAAACGAAAATAAACAAAAACATTCAGTCAGTTACTTTTGACCATTTTAACAGTATTACTGTGGTATAAAGAAAAAAAATACAGTGATATTTGTGAATAAATTTGAATAAATGAAGCCATTTCAGTCATCAGGTTTGAAAATTATATAATCTGACTGTCACTTTTCAATAATTTTTGACATAAAAAAACATAGATTTTGCACCAAATATATATCGCCAAATTTTGCACAAATAAGAGGGAGAAAAATGAAATGCATTTTCAAAACTTGATACGAAATAGTTTGGAAAAACCAAAGTTTTACCTGAGTTTGTGTCGGCCTTTTCCATACTTCCCCGACGAAAGCAGCCGAAAAGATTAATGAAAACACCACAAAAACGCCTTAATTGAAGGGCAAAACTTCTTAACCTGTAAACTATGATAACAACGATGAAACCAAGCTGAAAGGAATCGAAAAATATGTAAAACAAAGGCGAAAAACGGCATATAACTCGGCGAATAGCTTTGTACTGCAAAAAAATACAAATATTGTTTTTTGCATAATAAGCCTCGTTTCCATGTTGCACGAAGGCGCGGTTACAAAGTTTCGCAATTGGTCTATCGTCAACTGACTGTAGAGTGCTTTGCGCTAGATATTTATAGCAGCCATGATGGAGCATAATTTTATTTTCATTCAATAGCAATCGTTGTAATAATGATATGATCAATAATAACATAATCTCCCAAAACATAATATTGGCACAAATTGTGGGTAACTCAAAATTTTTAAACATTAATGGTTTTTACCCAGGATGAATCCGGAATTTTCTTTGGATCCTGCTTTTGAAAAGTGCACCGTCATAGAACACAGAATTAATCCATAAGCAGCCGCTTGGAATATATCTATGCCAATAACAAACCAAGGTATCCGTGTGAAAGAAAGAGCAAGAAATGACAGTGAATAAAGAAGCAATCCCAAAGATACCGTCTTTAATTCACCAATTTTTCGTATAAAATTTCCTGACACGAAAGCTGAAAGCGCTAGTAATGGCCGTCTTATTAAAGCAGCTCCCCCCATCAATAATGGACTGGCCTGCAACCCATCCAAATACCAAAACTCCCAGTAAATTTGAAACGAGCAACATAAGCCGGCGTAAAATATTATCAGGAACATGAAAACATAATGAAAATTAAACAAATGAGATTTTAAATCTGCCCAGTTGATGGTTTTAGTCTGATCATACTCGAACTCAAACCACGGTAGAGAAACCATTGAGAATAACGCCATGCAAGCAGCAACTATAAATGCCAAACTATAACCATAATCCTCAATCCCGCAGACTGTTATTCTGGTGCTCCAGGAGAGAAAAGCTACTGTGAAAATTGAAACAGCACCACCAATATTGTACCACATAAAATAAGCGCCGTAATTAGAGCTTCGTTCCTTCAGATAAGTTACAACAGCAAGGTTTCCTAAAGAAGCGGCAACGGTGTCAAACATGACGTTAAGTGATCTGGACACAGTCATCAGAATAAAAAGTTTACTTAACCACGGTACGCTTTGTGCCATTTTTGAAGCCTCTTCAATTGAATTTTGAGGTGATGAATTAGTCATATTTGATCCTGAATGCATTGAACCGTTGTTAAATATTACAAACCCTGAATCAAAGCGATAACGAGAAATTTGATTCCGTTCGGTAAAGCACGTTGGTAATGATACAACCAATGGCAGAAGAGGCATAAAACCAGTCAGAGTAACACCAATAATTGCCATGAAAGAAACAGCCTTTCTTGCACGAAATTTGTCGGCGAGGAGGAGAATAAACAAAACCAAAAAGTGCTGACCACCCATGAGAGTTGTGAAGCCAATTTGTTTAGGACTAAATCCAAGTTGCTTGAACCAAAGATGACAAAATTCTGCGTACAAAGATACGCTTCCGACACAACTGAAATAAAACCATTTCAAAGCCAGCGATTTGATAGAAAACATCTCCATCACTGATATAATGTGAGTGCAAATATTGGCAACAGTGTTCGTTTACGCGTGAACGCTTTACAAATAGTCAAGATTAAGTCTAATTATGCATGCTTCTTTGTTTGCAACATTCCACTGATTTAATGGTTGTTAGTAGGCTCTGTTTTCACGGTACCTGATCCGCTTGCAACAAAATCTTTGTAATGTCGTGATTATCACAATATCTTTGTAATGTGGTGAATGCATGGGGAGGGGTTGGATATTCTTATATTCATATATTCATATGTTCAGTTCTGCCCGGCGGATTTCATAGCTTACAATAGAAATCCGTCGGGCAGAACTGAACATTTGAATATTCAACTCATTATCGTTCTAGTTACGCCACTGGAGCCGGTTGTATCAAGCCCGTTTAGCTTAAACGGTGGATAAGTAAAAATTAAATAACACTCAAATCTCTTGAATTCAATGAGTCAACTTGAATATTATGCACTGAATATATGTAGTTGTAAACAGCATTTTTGTATCAAGGTAAAAAAATAATTAGTTCGCTTGTGGAATTAAACGACAGACTTGCAGTATTTTGAACTTATCCACCGTTTAAACTAAATGGGCTTGATACAATCAACCACTGGACAGCACAATTCTGCAACTTTAACAGTGTATAAAGTTAGTTATCTCTTTATACAAATATCCCTAGAATTATTCACGAAAGTGAAACATTATTCCGGGCGCTCTCGTCCCAGGGGAAGAAGGATTGCATAGCCAGCGTTTACTGATCAGTTCCAACCTGCATTTTATCCATGGCAGTTTTGTTCTCCTTCATATAGTTTAAGTTAGACAATACAAATTGCAAATCACTTGCGAGGCACGCAGAAATCAGCCCAATATACCTCATCGGAACACTCAAAAGACCTTCTGCTAAATGACGTAACAGGCGGTGACACCCGCAAGGAATTCTGGTCTTCGTAGTCACGGTGGGAAATTTTGAATTTTTCACCGTGACTGCTAAAACCTAAATTCCCTGCATGCAGGCGGGGTTGTGCTTGTCCCTATTCTTATGTGTGTCTAGTGTTCGTAATTATGGTAAGGGTATACATTTTATATAACACTTTTTTACTCAATATCACTTACCTAGATTTTAGTTTATCTGATTTCATCAGTAGTGGACCCCTTAAAACTACTCTTAAATAAATAAGAATGATCGTGAACAATAGACCTTGTGCATAACTATGTAACAACCCGTGACGCCTGCAGGGATATGTCGCAGCTCTCGGAAGCTTTTGTCCAACTTGGATAATGCTTTTCTAATATGCTTTCTAAAGAACGAACCTATGCTATTCGATTGAAACAGAAATGTATTGTAAAGTTCAGTAAATGAAAATCAGCTTAAGTCAGGAGCTGCGACACTACCCACGACGCCTAAAACGTTAAAATTGCTTTAAGGTAGTCTAGCTATTATACATGAAAAAAGTTTTTTTTATTTTGAATAACATAAAAATATATTCATGACATAATATTACAAGCCAAATTGCTCTGAGTGAAAAAAAGGCTTGTAAGAATCTTCAATCACTATAGTTACCCAGAGCAAACATATTCAATGTTGGAAAGTAACGATTATTTTGAACACGATAACAAACTAGGTTTTAACGCTAGAATTATATAGTTTTACATATAGTTCTAAATATTTTCACCACGGAGCTCAACCTTTCAGTATTAAACGTTTTATAGCCTATAAATAATATAGAACTTCTACGATCTATCTTAAATAAACAGTCCCTATTTTACTCCGACTGAATGGAATACAACACTTTTAGGTTCACGTCCGAGCCAATTGTCTTTAAAGTCAATCATGAAAATTTTATCAAATTAGCTTTATTACTTTTTGAGTTGTCGTGAATGAGAATTAGTTTGCTAAGAAAAGCGACGAAAAACGTTTTGCACATGCATTCATAAATTATAGAGAATGATACAATAGAACAATAAAACAATAGAATAAGCCAACAGACCCCTTTTCTTAGCTCAGAGTTAAAACCCTAATTAGTAAAACTTTTTGTTTAATTCTCGCGTTTTTTATATATTTTTTTGAAAAAAATTTTAAGGATCGATTACGGAAACATTTAAGTTTGCATCCCTGGAAATTTTTAAAACAGGATAAATGAGTTTAGTCAAAGTTAACTTTTATTATTACTTTATGACTTTCTTTCGAGAAAGACTTTGCATATATTTATGTATAGATCACAGAGAACAAATGAACAATACAAGTAAACAATGAAACAATAGACTGATAGAAAACTCTATAAGTTCAACGGTAAAACAGTAATAACTAAAGTTTTTATTTCATTCTCGCGTTATTTATATATTTTTCAGAGAAAATATTCAGTAAGATCAGTTACTTTGGGCTGGTATCCCGGCCCTAAGTTTTTCAAAACAGGATAACACATCATGCACCGCTACATAATTCAATAATACACTGCATGCAAGCTACATAAACTGAACTCAAACTTCAGACTTTAGTTTTAGTTTCAGATTTCATTAAGATCTCCCATAAAGATTTCCAATCTCCACTGCACGTAAACTCACAACCCCAATTCAGATTTGTCTGACCCACTCAACTCAAAACTATAACACAGTCACCTTAAAGGCGGGTTACAGTCGGTATATATAATGTAGACAAACGCTTTGTTTACAAATTGAATCGCGATACTCTTAAAATATCCTGTCCTATCGTGATCTTTATTACTATTTCAGTTAACTGTATTTCTAAATGAATAAAAGATAGAGTTTATGTTCAAAGAAAATCAAAAGATGCGAAATTTGGGCGATTTCTAAATAATGATGTCGCCCAATGTTTTGAGCAGAATCGATAATGTGCAGAAGCCGCTGTGACCTGTGTTTAACGTGGGCTCTTTCAATGCATGATAATGCATCGCACAAGTAGTCAGCCATCTTGAGTGAAATGAGCTTTTCATTCAATCAGTTAATATATTATACGCTATTGACGTTGACGTCCATAAGTCCAAGTGATTAATGAGCAAATTGTTTCTTCAACACACATCTGACGTGTGACGAGCTCATTTTATGGGGAAATTTCAGTTGCTGTCATTTTTTTTAAATTTTAAACTAGAATCTTTGACAACATACTATCAGTTATTTGTTACAAAATCTTAAAATCGCTATTAACTTGTTACTTTTCTTTATTAATGTTCATCTCTTATCTTTCCTCTCCCTTCCCCTTACAGTATGTTAGACGGTGCCAGGTTTCTACGAAAGAGAAAAATATGCGGAAGTCAGAAGAGGTTTTACGCAGTAACGCTATTTTCCCATACTTCTGGTGAAAAAGGTAGTCGGATCTACCCTCGCATCCTATAGCAACGTTACCAGCGTTTACAAGATTTTATTAATAGTTAAGGTTTAATTAAGGTCTATTAAAGTTTATTATTTAAAATCTATTTGCACTTTTGCCTGCCAGGTTAATAAATGACATGCCGTGATGTGGATTTTGTGCCAATGCGACGCGATTTTCCAGTTTTGAAAAATCGCCAATAAAGAATTAAATTGTCAATAAAAATTTGTCACATTTTTAGCATACACACATCATTGCATTATTTTTTTGATTATTTTAGAAACATGACGTAATTTGAAAATCGTATATCGTCAGGGGTTTTCCCTGTCATGTTTTAATGCAAATCAGGAAAAGCAATTAATTTATTTTAATTTACTCTGTATATTCATATAATCTTTTATAGGTATGCGGAAATAGAAACATAGTCATAATTTAGATTGATGGAATGTTGTGTGCGCTGGGTACGAAGTCTCCTTTCGAAACAATTAATATGTAGGAAGAACTAAACTCTAAAGCGGACAATTTCTCTTTCTTTACTGAATAAAACAGTCCACTGAATAATATACATTGGCGAGAACAAAGTCGAGGTTTTTATCAAGTGATTTTCACCTCGCCTTTGGCGAATAGCGTGTATATTTGGTCCAGCTATATGCTAAAGTTTTATTGTTTACTGATAGACTGTGTAAACCATGAATTTATTCACGAAATAATAGGCCCTAATTGGCTAATTCACGATTTGCTGTACCATTGATATTATATGATCATGAAGCGGTTGAACTGAAGAATAACCTGAGTTACCTGACCGGTTAATAATATTACAATTATTGCCTATTGTTGTGAAATATTATACGTTTTACACACTCTTTTTAAGTCTTTTCTCGATTTGAAAATCGTATATTATCAGGGGTTTTCCTGTCATGTTTTAATACAAGTCAGGAAAAGCAATTAATTTATTTTAATTTTCTCTACATATTCACATAGGTATGCGGAAATAGAAACATAAGTCATAATTTATAGTGATGTAATGTTATTGCATACCAACGTTGAACACTAAAGTCGTTTGCCAGCGTCGAACAGCGTGCGAAGCCCCCTTTCCAAACCAGGCATATGGATCCAAACGAAGACACATTCTTTCTACCAGTTGATAATCCCACAGGTTTGTTTTGATTTACTGTTTTACGTTGTACTCCACCGAGATTACGTTACTCGAACGAAATTGTAGATTCAAAACGCTAACTGGAACTTCATCTTGCTAGAGGGAAATGGAATCCAAGCAGGATATCATCATTGCACGTCGAGTGTTCGAAGTTACACCACTATAGCCTTCGCTATTAACTCTCGTTTTAGGAAAAAGTTGCTACTTTAAGGACTTGCAAACTGGTATATATATAGCTACACTATTTTGAGCCTATTTCCTTGTCCCCGAGATAAAGTTTTGTGGAACAAACCATTTCTGCTGTATTCACGATCTCCAACCCTAATTCTAGTTGAAATATTAAACTAGCCTACGCAAAATATGTCTTGCTCTCTTCCTTAACTGCCTGCTCGCTATGTTGGTGCTAAAACATTATAACTTCCGTCTTGGCGCAACATATCAGCTTACAAATGACATGCTCGAGAATTTTTTACAAACAACTTTTGATGTCATGAAGTAAGATTTCATAACCCAGTTATAGCCTTGGATTAAATTCCTTGGTTGTTTCGGAATGATTTATCCTCTGATATTAAGCTTTAATGTTTGAAGTTTCTAAAGCCCGACTATTTTCACACTACGTTGCAAGCATTTACGGGTAGTGACTGTATACAAGTAATTCATACGCATTTGTACAGAACTGCATGCTGTCTGCTGCTATTGGGACACAGGTCGTTGTATTAAATGTTGGGGAAAGGATTT